TGGCTGTGGAAGGATATAAAGTCCTGGGTTCTGAGGGCTGGCAACAGAAATTACCACTACAAGCACTACTTTGCACACTACCTGTTCTGCCACATTCATCGAGACCACGGCACAGTCCTTCATCACTTCCTCAATGCCGCGACTCGAGGTTTCCCACCATCACCGTAAATCACTCCCCTCCCTGGTGGATATCCATTTTTTAACACATTTGCACAGACTACAACAGTGTCCACTATAAAATAACAGTGAAAATCCTGCGTTTTTATAATAATTTTCGATCAATTTCGGCCACGGGAAAGTTGTAAATAATTATCTTAATTTAATCCAAGTTAGTGAGTATCAAAGCGAATGCAAATTAAAATTGTAATCGAAATGTTTGAATATAAGATGAAACATAAATAGAAATAAGAATGTGAATAAGAACCAAAGTGTTTTTAATGAAGCATTAAAAAATAGTCAACTAAACAATACTAAACCGTTCTTTATGAAGTCAAACCCTCCAGGTGCGTCAATGGGAGGTCACTAATAAAATAATAGGTTTTAAGGGATATATTTCTTGAGGTATTGAGGTTGCAAAAAAAAAAAGTACAACAATATAGAGGAAGCACGACAACTTACTGAGGTTGGTACGATAGTGCTGGAGGAAGAACCTTGTTTGTTTACATCAGCTGAATGGTTGAAGGAACAAGTCCAGTCGCCCCAAGGTAATTTTAATAGTAATACAATTATTTTATATTGATTTTGCCCAATACAATATTAATATTAAAATAATAAGAGAGTGTAAAGGCAATGAATTGTGATTTTAGCCTTATGTACTAATCTAATGACTGTGACTGCCAACCAGTCCACCTGATCCCAGTGACGCACAGCAACAAGTTGTGAGTCAGCTATATAACCATACAGAAAATTTCGACAGCAAAGCTTTATGAAGAAGCTTAGGATAGCCACACTGCATGAAATTTAATGTTAATATATTTTTTTATTAAAGGATTTATTTTTTATTAATTTTTTGTTATTAACATTGTCAGCTTACTACTCATTGGGGCAGTAAGGCTGTGCTTTGTTAACATCTTCATTGTCCAGTGTCACTACAGGAGGAAACTGGAGTACCCAGATAAATATGTGATGTATGGTGGTAACTCAATGTATCCCAACCTGGTCACAAAACCCAAGATCTATATCCAACCTAAATTTCTTTGGGGGGAGGAGTCACAGTGCATAACACACTACTCACATCCGACCCAGGGAATGAACCTGTGGCACAGTGGTGAGAGATAAAGTTACTGATTTATTCACTGTAGATTAGTATTTGGCTAATGTAAGATTTAACACATGGCCTTGATTTAAGGGTGACAATAGGTTCTAACAATGAAGAATTTAATTCCAAGTCGATTTTCCTCCATCGTCTTTTTTGTGTACATTCTTATTTTTGGAGACAGAGCAGTTTTTGGCTCATTTAAAATTGGTATTAGTTTAGGTTAGAAAATTCATGTATCTTGAAATATAGTTGTCATTAGGTTAGGTTCTTTTAGGTTTATGAATGATTACCAAAATATAGATTGCTTCATGGACAGTGTACCTCCAACTGCGTGTTGCAACTCGTCAAGATCACCTGTTTATTCTCAACCACGTCTTAAGATGCCCACCTGGTGTTGGTGCTTGAGTCACGTTTGTTTACATTTAACAAGCTAGCCTCTTACCGCTGTTCAGAGCCCTAAATATTGTTTTATTATTTTCAGTATCTACTAATTTCTCAAAAAATATAGATATTTTCGAAATTAGAATATAAAACGGTTAATATATAAGACTAATCCGTGGGCGAGTTACTTTTAATACTGTTTATTTTCTTATATTATTTTCATCAGTGAGTTCTGATATGATAATCATTTATTGTGCAAATTTTTCATTTCATAGATAATTAGGCGCCTAGGTGCCCACTAGTTTGTCTTCCGGGCAGTCCATATAAAGGAACTTGGCTTGAAAATGCCAAGATTCAGCCCAGTGTTTTGATTTTATTTATTACATTTTTTTTAAACAAATGTCTTTTACACAGACATATTGTGAAATAGAACTGGGTATGAGCCCCAAGTGTGTTGTTGACTGGAAACATTTTTGCAGTGAGGTGTGTATGCACTGGATAGAAAACCTGGAACCTATTGGCAGCCCAAATAGAATAGTAGAAATTGACGAAAATAAGTTTTGAAAGAGGAAATTCTAACGTGGCCACTTAGTGAAGGGTGTCTGGGTTTTTGGCGGCACCGTGGATGGGACGCATGTTTGTTATGCCAGCTGAAAAGAGATGCCAACACCCTAGTATACTGCCAGATCTGGGGTCACTAAATCTAAGGGGATAACTTAACTCTAATCTTAATTTCTAAGGGTCGCTGCCACCAGACCCCCTCTGGACAGCATGTAGCTCGTTAGGTAGCGGGCAGAGTGAACTAGGCATTGGGTTAGGTTTTCCATTGATCAGATCGATAAGGGTAAAGAAGGGTGAAACCATAACATGTCTTCATTGATTTATTTCTTATAAAACACACTGGTAAAAAAAACATACATGAACTGGCCTTCCTCAGAAGAACAACGGAATTTTGGTTACCCAACTGGGCCCCAGACTCCTACATTACTGGCGGGTCATCCACCCACTTATTGCACAACAATCGGTGAACGCCGTATCTCGGTCGTTCCTTCTTACAATATCCCTTAACACATCAGACTGTTCCACTGGTGTGGCTTGTAGCACCGTCGGTTATCATACATAGTAGCACCATCGCAACACACCTGTTACACTCCATACCTGCAAGTATGTGACTCCTTGTGACTTTTAGGTCTACACCACGGGCCCCTCGTTCGCACACCGCCCTCGGTGGGTAAGGACGAGGGCTTGACCTAGAGACATACCAGCACTATTTCTACGCCTGGTATTATAGGTCGCTCCAAGTGACGACCGCAGTTTCTCACGGTCTCCTTAGTTGTGACTATTCATGTGGAGTGGTGCGCTGGGAATCCACCGGTTCATAGTGGACTGGTATAGTGGGGAGTAATTCCCCACCTGGTGTGGCGCTCCAGGAGACAATGGCGGCTGGGCGGCAAGATACCCCAACCACGTGGCACCTGTGTTGACGGCAGAACGGGAAAGACTAAGCAATAATGCCTGACGGGCGGTTATCCCATCCCTTAACACATCCCTATCACACTTATATATCCGGCAAAGCTTTAAACTGTAGTCACTGTTATTTATCAACCTTAATTGTAGGGCGGGATATAGCCCGCTAGGACACTGACCTGTGTTGACGGCAGAACGGGAAAGACTAAGGCCGGCTTCCCGCCGCTTCTCGTCACATAGGCCTACAGTTTCCAATCCTCAATTTACATTTTTGTTTCTTATGGTTCTCCCCTGAACACTTTACGGTATATTGTCACTCATTTCTTATAAACACATATATTAATCCTAACTTATACACTAAGGTCAGGTCTTGGTTTGCTAGTGCTTGGTTAAATGCCTGGGATTTTAATATCAACGGGCATCTGAGGCGGGTACATGACGCGCCTTGAAACAAAAGCCGAATGATCATGGCGGGGGTGTATCAACTTCACTTAAAAACTGTAATGAGGGATCCTCCTCTCACACAGTGCACTATTTGAACACAGACCTCAGATTCTCTGATCACTGTACCTGTCGTGGGTATACGTCACGTGAGGCTACGAGGTGTATTAAATTCATACCGACGCATACACGATATTTCCTTTCCAGTATAGTTTCTATATCACTGTCAACACCTCACATAGTTCTGATACATTTATCCCTTTTTCCCGATCATTGTTCTCATGTATTTTCATATGATATCTGTTGGAGTTAGGTTCGCTACACGCTCACAGACGTAAATAGTAGGACCTTCAAACCCTGCTCCACACTTAGTCTTACAGTACCCTAGTCCGGCTCAACTGGACTTTAACATTCATCTTATGCCTACCCTGAGTGATCCTTAATGCTATGAATACATACACTTGATATGATATAATTATACCTGGGTACCATACCACACATGGTCTAGGAACCTTGAGTAGGGGAGTTGTCCTTTCTCAATGTTTCCCGTTTTCTGGGGTTCTACAAGCGCTGTGCATTTGAATGTTATGTAGCGTAATATGAATTAGATGGGATTTTTAGGGATGACAATGATGTGCGCAGTACACTAGTTCCTCCTTGCCAGAAATTTATCAAGTAAGGCATCACTATCTACAGTGAAGCAGGCTCGAACTTGGGGTCCTTGGGTTATAACCACCAAACTGTAAACCACAGCAAAAACTTTGTTGACCCTGTTACTACAGTGCACACTAACACTGTAGAATGGCTGTGGAAGGATATAAAGTCCTGGCTTCTGAGGGCTGGCAACAGGGATTACCACTACAAGCACTACTTTGCACACTACCTGTTCTGCCACATTCATCGAGATCACGGCACAGTCCTTCATCACTTCCTCAATGCCGCGACTCGAGGTTTCCCACCATCACAGTAAATCACTCCCCTCCCTGGTGGATATCCATTTTTTAACACATTTGCACAGACTACAACAGTGTCCACTATAAAATAACAGTGAAAATCCTGCGTTTTTATAATAATTTTCGATCAATTTCGGCCACGGGAAAGTTGTAAATAATTATCTTAATTTAATCCAAGTTAGTGAGTATCAAAGCGAATGCAAATTAAAATTGTAATCGAAATGTTTGAATATAAGATGAAACATAAATAGAAATAAGAATGTGAATAAGAACCAAAGTGTTTTTAATGAAGCATTAAAAAATAGTCAACTAAACAATACTAAACCGTTCTTTATGAAGTCAAACCCTCCAGGTGCGTCAATGGGAGGTCACTAATAAAATAATAGGTTTTAAGGGATATATTTCTTGAGGTATTGAGGTTGCAAAAAAAAAAAGTACAACAATATAGAGGAAGCACGACAACTTACTGAGGTTGGTACGATAGTGCTGGAGGAAGAACCTTGTTTGTTTACATCAGCTGAATGGTTGAAGGAACAAGTCCAGTCGCCCCAAGGTAATTTTAATAGTAATACAATTATTTTATATTGATTTTGCCCAATACAATATTAATATTAAAATAATAAGAGAGTGTAAAGGCAATGAATTGTGATTTTAGCCTTATGTACTAATCTAATGACTGTGACTGCCAACCAGTCCACCTGATCCCAGTGACGCACAGCAACAAGTTGTGAGTCAGCTGTATAACCATACAGAAAATTTCGACAGCAAAGCTTTATGAAGAAGCTTAGGATAGCCACACTGCATGAAATTTAATGTTAATATATTTTTTTATTAAAGGATTTATTTTTTATTAATTTTTTGTTATTAACATTGTCAGCTTACTACTCATTGGGGCAGTAAGGCTGTGCTTTGTTAACATCTTCATTGTCCAGTGTCACTACAGGAGGAAACTGGAGTACCCAGATAAATATGTGATGTATGGTGGTAACTCAATGTATCCCAACCTGGTCACAAAACCCAAGATCTATATCCAACCTAAATTTCTTTGGGGGGAGGAGTCACAGTGCATAACACACTACTCACATCCGACCCAGGGAATGAACCTGTGGCACAGTGGTGAGAGATAAAGTTACTGATTTATTCACTGTAGATTAGTATTTGGCTAATGTAAGATTTAACACATGGCCTTGATTTAAGGGTGACAATAGGTTCTAACAATGAAGAATTTAATTCCAAGTCGATTTTCCTCCATCGTCTTTTTTGTGTACATTCTTATTTTTGGAGACAGAGCAGTTTTTGGCTCATTTAAAATTGGTATTAGTTTAGGTTAGAAAATTCATGTATCTTGAAATATAGTTGTCATTAGGTTAGGTTCTTTTAGGTTTATGAATGATTACCAAAATATAGATTGCTTCATGGACAGTGTACCTCCAACTGCGTGTTGCAACTCGTCAAGATCACCTGTTTATTCTCAACCACGTCTTAAGATGCCCACCTGGTGTTGGTGCTTGGGCTCCATCATGCATTCAGGTACTGTATAGTATACATTGGTGTAACTAATTTATGATATTTGAAGTTGATAACACTTAATTTTTATCTGGAATTAAATACTAAAGGCTGAAAATATAGGTCAAACAACCAAATCAGGTCTGAGTTCTTATTACAGTTTTATTTTTAACTTAAGAATAATTACCCTTTACCCCTCACTCATTTTAGAATTACAAACTGGTATTTCCATATAAACAAATAAGAAGAAACAATGTCTGAGCTAAACTTAGCATTTATTCTAATCTTATACTGTATTGTTGTTGTGCAGTAATTTCTAAAGGGTGTTTCACTGGCTAGGGTCTTTGAACATTCATCAAGTCTTAATTTTTATATCGAATAAGAACTTTTGAAATTTTTAAAAGGCCTTTGTTTTGGATTTGTTTTGGATGCTTGCTTTTATGTGTTTGTAAAATAAAGTGGAAGATTGTATCTCGGGTTCTAGAGACTGCTAAGCATACCAGACTTGTTAATATATCTTGAAAGCCTGGAAAATTGGATTTAGGGCTTTATATACACTATACTGTACTTTATTTTAACAAATGTCATAATTGTTGCGACATTCACTCTTTGTGCCATCATTTAAATAAATGTCAGAATTGTTGCGACATTCACTCTTTGTGCCATCATTTAAATATAAATTTAATTTTATTATTGAATACAAGTTTATTAATACAGGTTGTACCTCTCTAGTCCGGCAACCTCGGGACCTGACCGGTGCCGTACCATGGAAATTGCCGGACCATGGAAATTCACCCTTTTGTGCTTATGCTTGGAAGCACTAGCACCACTTTCTCTGCATCATGGTCTCTTTGAAGACATATTGAAGGGTTAAATGTCGTATAGTAACTTCTCAAATTTCGCGAGTTTTTAATTCTTAACGTATTTTATTGGAACAAAAAAATAAATGAATAAACAATTTGGACAGCGGAAACTTGAATTTCAACGGGTTTGAACGGCCCACTAACTTGCAGACGACGTGCATAATCATGTAAACAGCGTCATTTCTCTTCTGTACAAAAGATTCATTATTGTTTATTACTGAATGTCTTTTTTATTTAATTAATGTTTGTGTGCAAAATGAGCAATACAATTCATTAATAATACGTAGAATATTAAAACACACGAGGAAATGACACAGCATTGTTTTCGTTGATTACAAAGCCAGTGACTGACTAGTTCTACATATAAAACTGAAGAAAATAAGACCTTGGTTGTAGCTGTAGTAAAATTAATATGGTTGTTTTAAGTAATGTTATTTAATGTTAATAAATGGAACAATAGAAGTAGCTAACGATAATGGTAAAGAAAAAAGAGAGATCGCGTATGTAAGTGCGCATGCGCACACGTGAAAACATATCGTCATTACTTTACATAAGAATATGAAAGCAACACTTATTTACTGTTCATATATATTTTAATTAATGTTTCTGAATTTGTTTTTATTGAATTAATGTACGTGTGTGCAAAATTAACAATACAATTTATTAATAATACGTGGAATATTAGAGGAGACGAGACGGCTGCCGGCATTGTTTATGTTAAAGCTTACGAAATCAGTGACTGATTGGTTCTACATATAAAACTGAAGAAAATAAGACCATGATTTTAGCTGTAGTAAAATTAATGTAAAAAAAATAATATGGTTGTTTGAAGTACCTGTAATGTTATTTAATGTTAATAAATGGAACAATATACTGTAAGTAGCTAACCATTAATGGTAAAAAAAAAAGTGAGACTGCGCGTATGTAAGTGTGCATATGTGAAAACATATCGTCATTACTCTACATAAGAATATGAAAGCAACACTTATTTACTGCTCATATATATTGAAGGGTTAAATGTTGTACTTTGTACAGTGACCCCTCGTTTAACGAACGCCTCGGTTAACGAAATTTCGGTTAACAAACTGCCTTCCATAAGGATCTTCAATTCGGTTAACGAATTTCTTACGAACCGACCTCAACATGTTTTTGCTTGCACTGACCGGGCAACCAGCTTTAGTATCAGTCCGCCAATACATTAATCGGTTCTAGGACTTAAATTCCTTACTATTTTAGTAAATATCAAGAAGTTTATACTATTCAATAATTTTAAAAGTTTAATATTCAATTTTTTAGTCATTTTAACAATTATTGAACATAATTGAAGGTAAAGTGACTAGTTTAATGCGCGGCATCCAGCCTCTTAACACAGCAAACAGGCGTTAGTCTCTCTCTGTTTTCACTGGAGGTAACATCTTGCTTGAGACTCTCTTCAACTAAATGCTTTTTTCTGTGTTTCCAAGCAAATTATTGGTCATTTTGAAATATATTTTACATATTGACAATATATAATGCAGTGCAGTGTTGATTTAAAGAAAATAATCTTGAATTACACCAAGAGAGCTAAAATTTTATGGGTGAAATGGTGCCATGGGGTGACTTCACTTCCACCCCAATGCCTTCTCAGCCTTCTCCTCCACCCCCATTCTAAATCCCATCATCATCATCCAGGAGCCTTCTACATACACACCTCAAAGTAAGTGAACTTTTCTACCATTTTTGTTGAATTTAGGAAATTTTCGGTGAGCTGGAACCAATTACCCAAAAACCCATTGAAACGATGGTTTCGGTTAACGAACGACCTTCTGGAATGGATTGAGTTCGTTAACCGAGGGGTCACTGTATAGGCAAGCAGAGAGAGCGAGAGAGAGAGCAGCCGAACTGCCGGATGTAAACAAACCTTAATTTCCCGCGGCTGTTTTTTTTTTTTTTTTAAGGGGATTAGCCCACCCGGGCATAGGTCACTGACCCACATTGGGGCCTGAGGGGCAAAAATTGAATAGTCCTGTAATAATAATTCAGATAAGTTAAAAAAAAAAGAGCTGCCTATCTACCTATTGGACAAACTAAAATCGTACCGGACCACGGGAGTTTCCGGACCACAGAATGCCAGACTAGAGAGGTACAACCTGTACAGTACAGGATATTGGTACAGGGTTAAAATTTTCTGTGATTATTAATTTGTAATGTATAACATTCATTGGCTTTACTGTACAGGTATATACTGTATACTGTAAAATCATTTTTTATGTATATTAACCCAGTATTGTATGTTATTCCCTATCTTATGACTGAGATACAGTGTTAGGAAGATAAAAAATGTATTGTAATTTATTATACTGTATTTTTGATAGATTGGAGGACCATGGGAACAAGATGGCATTGATGGGGGAGTTTGTGGTGGAATGTTAGGGTGCTGGCCACTAGACCATGCCCTCACTGTGCTCTCTACTATACTCAACCCAGTTAAAGCCAGGGAAGATTTTCTTCATCATCTTAAAGAAACTGCATTGCCTAGTCAAGTTGATGAAGATAAGAACCTTAGTGAAGATAAAAATGATAATGTCTGGGTGGTGGTTGACAGTTCTGGGGAGGACGAGGAAGACCCTGCTCAGCTGTGGGCCCGCTTCAATGAAAATGATGTTGTTCAGGTAGATAATCATTGAAGTTGATGAAAAGTGTTTTACACATGTCTGTACTTTCTTATCCATACCATCATTCCCATTAGTATCAGGTGGATAAATTGCATTTATCATATGTTGAGCAGTTGTGCCTTTGGGACCCACTTTCACTTTTTCACCTAAATTAATTTAGTGTAACAGTGAACATGAGAACTTCTGCAGTCACAAATAAACCAGAGAGATGTATCTATTAATTTTCATTTGTTAATGACTGGTTTATTTACTAATCTAAAAAATTTACGTATATTGAACATCAGTCACTAGGATATATATTTTTTTTTCTCCTTTTTATGTTTGTGACAATTGAAAATTTATTTTTCATTCATTTTTCCAAGTGTGCAAAGTGTTCTCACTGTACTGTAGTATAGTATCTCTAATCAGCCTTAACACCTGAAATCATTGACCCTCAAGGATTTATTTATTAAGTACAGTAGGCAAATCAATTCTGGTCAGTTAACCTCACTTCCACAAGCCTTTAACCTTCAGCATTACTGTGTGAATCCTCCCCAATCTATCAACCACTGCAGTGTTTGTGACTTTTCATAGCAACACTTTTCTCCTTCTGCCTCTCCTCTCTAATAATTTCTTTGCCACTCATGAATTACTTGTTTTCCTTCATTCTTTTTCTTTCCTTTGCTTTTAATATTCAGTGTTGTGCGGAATACTTTTATCTACTGCCTTACTTTGACCACTTGTAAAAAAAATAGCTTAGTTTAGTACCCACACAGATGTACTTCTACACACAAATTTTGTGGCTTTCTGTGTATGAAGCATCATGTTTTATCTGATGTACTTCATATTCTCCAGATGATTAGTTTTGTTGATGTTTTACACTGCTTTCCAGTTATGATTTAGATTTCAAATTAATATTTAAAGGTTCCTGGTTAAAGAAAGAATTCATAATTTTTGCATCTTACAGCATCTTTCACTCTTATATAATGGGCTTTCAGATCTTAAACCAAGTGCCCTTCAAAGAAATCTTCCAGCACATATTATTGATCAAGGAAGAGGATGGATCACTCAACTATGATGTGTCTTGCACAAGTCACCAGGGCTTTATGAAGCTGTTTGCATTTGCTACTCATCTTTTACAGCTTTTTCGTACAGGACTGGCAACATATTCTCAGGTTAGTCTAATAATTAGTTGGCAGATTATTGCAACCCTTGGATGGTAATACTAATATTTATATCTATTAAACCAGTGAAGGAAAATTTCCATAATTCCCCTCAAAAATGGAAAAGCTGCACCGGTCCAATTGTGTGGCCACTAAAACCCCAGACTTGACTAAGTGGGGCGGGCGGGTCATGAAGGACATGGTTTATACTATGTACCCACAGTCCATGAATTGTTACAAGATTGCATTACTAATGCTGCA